TTCTCTTATTCTACACAACAACAACGAACCATTTTTGGATCGGGACATGTGACAAAAAGCAGATTGTATACGACAACCAGTGATGACCAGCTCAGTGACTGGACCAACAAGAAGCTCCAAAGCACTTCCCAAAGCCAAACTTGCACCCAAAAAGGTCATCATCACTGTTTGGTGGTCTGCTGCCCATCTGATCCACCACAGCTTTCTGAATCCTGGTGAAACCATTGTATCTGAGAAATATGCTCAGCAAATCAATGAGATGCATTGAAAACTGCAGCCAGCACTGGTCAACAGTAAGGGCCCAATTCTTCTCCACAACACCTGACCACACATTACACAACCAACGCTTCAAAAGTTGAACAAATTGGGCTATGAGATTTTGTTTGCCTCATCTGCCACATTCTCCTGATCTCTCACCAACCAAGTACCACTTCTTCAAGCATCTCCACAACTTTTTGCAGGGAAAACACTTCCACAACCATCAGGAGGCAGAAAATGCTTTCCAAGAGTCTGCTGAATCCCAAAGTATGGATTTTTATGCTACAGGAATAAACAAACTTATTTCTCATTGACAATAACGTGTTGATTGTAATGGTTTCTATTTTCATTAACAAAGATGTATTTGAGCCTAGTTATAATGACTTAAAATTCATGGTACAAAACTCACAAAGACAGAAATATAGATCAATGGAACAGAATAGAAAGCCCAGAGATAAATCCACGAACCTATGGTCACCTTATCTTTGACAAAGGAGGCAAGGATATACAATGGAAAAAAGACAACCTCTTTAACAAGTGGTGCTGGGAAAACTGGTCAACCACCTGTAAAAGAATGAAACTAGAACACTTTCTAACACCATACACAAAAATAAACTCAAAATGGATTAAAGATCTAAATGTAAGACCAGAAACTATAAAACTCCTAGAGGAGAACATAGGCAAAACACTCTCCGACATAAATCACAGCAGGATCCTCTATGACCCACATCCCAGAATTTTAGAAATAAAAGCAAAAATAAACAAATGGGACCTAATGAAACTTAAAAGCTTTTGCACAACAAAGGAAACTATAAGCAAGGTGAAAAGACAGCCCTCAGATTGGGAGAAAATAATAGCAAACGAAGCAACAGACAAAGGATTAATCTCAAAAATATACAAGCAACTCCTCCAGCTCAACTCCAGAAAAATAAATGACCCAATCAAAAAATGGGCCAAAGAACTAAACAGACATTTCTCCAAGGAAGACATACAGATGGCTAACAAACACATGAAAAGATGCTCAACATCACTCATTATCAGAGAAATGCAAATCAAAACCACAATGAGGTACCATTACACACCAGTCAGGATGGCTGCTATCCAAAAGTCTACAAGCAATAAATGCTGGAGAGGGTGTGGAGAAAAGGGAACCCTCTTACACTGTTGGTGGGAATGCAAATTAGTACAGCCACTATGGAAAACAGTGTGGAGATTTCTTAAAAAGCTGGAAATAGAACTACCATATGACCCAGCAATCCCACTTCTGGGCATACACACCAAGGAAACCAGATCTGAAAGAGACACATGCACCCCAATGTTCATCGCAGCACTGTTTATAATAGCCAGGACATGGAAGCAACCTAGACGCCCATCAGCAGACGAATGGATGAGGAAGCTGTGGTACATATACACCATGGAATATTACTCAGCCATTAAAAAGAATTCATTTGAATCAGTTCTAATGAGATGGATGAAACTGGAGCCCATTATACAGAGCGAAGCAAGTCAGAAAGACAAAGACCATTACAGTATACTAACACATATATATGGAATTTAGAAAGATGGTAACGATAACCCTATATGCAAAACAGAAAAAGAGACTCCGATGTATAGAACAGACTTGTGGACTCTGGGAGAAGGCGAGGGTGGGATGTTTCAAGAGAACAGCATAGAAACACGTATATTATCTAGGGTGAAACAGATCACCAGCCCAGGTTGGGTGCATGAGACAAGTGCTCGGGCCTGGTGCACTGGGAAGACCCAGAGGGATCGGGTGGAGAGGGAGGTGGGAGGGGGGACCGGGATGGGGAATACATGTAAATCCATGGCTAATTCATTTCAATGTATGACAAAACCCACTGCAATGATGAAAAGTAATTAGCCTCCAACTAATAAAAATAAATGAAAAAAAAAAAAAATTCATGGTACAAAACTGCAATTATATTTGCACCAACCTAACAACATATTGGAGAAGGCAATGGCACCCCACTCCAGTACTCTTAGCCTGGAAAATCACATGGACGGAAGAGCCTGGTAGGCTGCAGTCCATGGGGTTACTAAGAGTCAGACACGACTGAGTGACTTCACTTTCATGCACTGGAGAAGGAAATGGCAACCCACTCCAGTGTTCTTGCCTGCAGAATCCCAGGGATGGCGGAGCCTGGGATGGCGGAGCCTGGTGGGCTGCTGTCTATGGGGTCGCACAGAGTCGGACATGACCGAAGCGACTTAGCAGCAGCAGCAGCAACAGAACATATACCAAGCTACTAACACTGCTATAAAGACTGAGGAGTCACATATACAATTTTATTTCATTTATGTAAAATTACCCACAGGTACAGGGGGAAAAATGCTTAAAAAAAAAAAAGCAAAGAAGAAAGAATAAAGACAGAAATAGCTCAGGTGGTAAAGAATATGCCTGCCATGCAGGAGATCCAGGTTAGATTCCTGGACTGGGAGATCTCCTAGAGATGGAAATGGCAACCCACTCCAGTATTCTTGCCTGGGAAATCCCATGGTCAGAGGAGTCTGATGGTCCATAGTCCATGGGGTCACAAAGAGTAGGACATGACTGAGCAACTAAGCATAGTACCATAGTACACAGTAAAATAATCCAAGAGCTGGTTCTTTGGGGAGAAATAAATGACTATAAACCATTAGCTAATCAAAACTTGTATTTTTTTTATTTTTTTTTATATTTAGGTCTTTATTACATCAGATTATTTATGTTTCCATGCCAGGATTCCAATTTTATGTTTTTCTCTGCTGAATGGAGAGAAATTTTGCCAGTACTATTTATTAAAAAGTTCATTCTTTCTGCATTTGATTTGTAATACTACTACTGCTATACCCTAAACTCCTAGACATATCTAGGTTTGCTTCCAGACTCCCTACTCTGTTTCACTGTTCACATTACTACAGCTTTGTTCTGATACATGATCTGAGTCTTCAAATCTTTTCAATACTATTTTTGTTATTTGGCCTCTTCCTGTTAATGTTAGAATCAGTTTACCAACTCCTATGCAAACAAACAAATAAAAACAAAAATCTGGAATTTAGACTGGAACTACATATTCACACCTGAATTTGAAGAGAACTGATACATTTCTGATGTTTGTCTCTTCCCATCCAATGACGTTGCACTGCTCCTTTTATTCAGGACCTTAAAAATGTTCTTTAGAAATGAGTTGTAATTTCATCCAACTAAGTCTCACACACTTTCATTAAATTTCATTTTTATTACTCCTTAGTAGTTTTTATGCTATAGTGTTTTTAAATTACGTTGTCTAATTTATTCTGCTCATACTTGATTTTATTATATTGAACTTTGCTAATTTGCCAATAATTCTAATTGTTTATAGACTCCCTTGGATCTTCTGCATGGATAATTATATAATCTGTAAATAAATTATGTTTCTTTCAATTGTAAACCTTAACCTTCATTTTCCTTGTCTCAGCAGAGGGGCTGAAACCATTATTACCATGATGAATAGATGCAGTCAAAACAGGCATTATTGCTTTGCTCTCGTTTTAAGGCGAATGCTTCTAACTTTACCATTCAGTATAGCAAATGCCTGTTTATTAAATACAGGAAATTTTCTTCTCTTCCTGGCTGAAGTTATATACTAAGTGTTAAATTTTATCAAAGTATTTTTCAACATCTATTATCTCTGTTGCTTCTTTTGAGAGAAGCAGTCTGCCATGAACTCTGAATATCCTTGTGCAACCCTACCACAGGTATCAAACTGAAAGGCCTAACCATCCACTAATAGAGAGGAGTTTTTGTAACGGGTCAACTGGTCAACAGGTCAAGCTGACCACAGTTTAACTACCATGTGACTGCTTACTCCCCAGGAAAGGACTGACTTGCTTCCTGACTGCAACAAAAGGTATCTAGCTTAACTCTGGGTGTCTCAGTTACAGAGCATACCACTGTGTGCAGAGCCGCCAGCTCTGCCCAAACTATCACCCTCTGGGACTTGGGGACAGGGATCCAACAGTGCCATGCTGATGCTTCCGCTGACTACTGGGCTGTAATAGCTGCCCACAGAATCCAGCTGTCTACTTCTGGCACCTGTGAAGTTGTGGCAGTTACTCCTTGCCATTCTCCATGGGTTTGTGATTCTTCTCTGACGAGATATAAAAAATCTTTAAAAGGATCCTTTACAACCTCCAACACTATCAGAGTCAAGTTATACAAGAAAGCAACTATCAACCCAGTTAAATCTGTCTTTTTTTTCTAACTATTCTATCAAATGTCTCTATAAGTAACCAAAGCCAACAATGATCGAGGTCCTTCCAAACTGTTTTTTCCCAATAGAACTTAATTGATCAAAATAAAGTAACTAAGAGATGCTTCATAATAGAAGATAATTTGTAATGACTCAAATATTTTCAAGAAGGATACTTCTGGGAAAAAAATGCCTTACTTTCTAATTAAGTAAATAGATAACTTATAATCCACATGACTCATTAAGAACAATTTAATAATCAGAAAAGAATAAACAATAGTTTAAATATTTTTATTACCTATTATGAAATGCCAAGAGATAAGAATGCTAGCTTACTAGTGCCATTAATATTATATTACACAGTCACAAAAAGATTATAATACTATCTGCTTCTGAAATTTTAAATCCTATTTAATATTTCACCTATGTGTCTTAAGGTGAGGTTTCAACAGGAGACATTTCAATGAGGCAAACATCAAAGTAATTATATTATTATTTTTATCTCTTTACCTATATTCAGGCTGTCGGCTTGCAGAATGATCATCTCTTGTCCACCTATAGCCAGATTCATCCTGTAAGAGAAAAATGTTACTTAAATATTCATTTACATTATTTTGGTCAAATAGAGTATCTATTTGTATCTAACAGCATTACTGGAAACTAGTCTCAAGACCAAAATAATATGAGGGAAAAAATACCTAAGTTTCTCTGAGCTTCAAAGGCATGAAAAAGAAAACAAGATACAACAAGTCATCTATTTCAAACAACTAATTTGGTAGACTGAGAACCTATGGTACTTATTTATCTCTATTAAAATACTTAAAAGTATTTCTTCAGTGGGCCCAAACAACTTTATTGCCAAAAACACATGCCATCATTCACAATATAGAAAGTCTGTTCAACAACAAAGGTTCAATTTAAATTAAATTCAAACACACATTTCTCAATCTTTCATTTTATTTTCTTCCTCTGTCAAGTTAGCTTAGCAATTTTCATCTTCAAGCCTGATGAAGAAACCGTCACTTTCCCATTTCTCTGGTTGGTTTCCTTTTCTCATCCTACCTCCCATTAAAAATTAGAATTGGAAACAATGTAATAAGAAATCAACACTATATTAGATAAACTATATTAGGCCAAGATGTTTAAAATCTTGTTTAAAATTAAGCTAAGCTAAAAATTTTAAAAAGTAGCACACTTTGTCCTCTGAAACAAACAAGTTGGAAGAGGTACATATAATGAAACCACATAGTAATCCACGCTCCATTACTTTAAAATTATACATAACAAGGGACATCAGTCCTCCATATCCACAGGTTCCACATTTAGAGGATTCAACCAATCACATTTTAAAATATGGGGAAAGGGTGGAATTCAGAAAGTTTCAAAAAGCAAAGCTTGAATTTACCACACGCAAGCAACTACTTACATAGCACAATGTTGTATTAAGTATCACAAATAATCTAGAGATGATTTAAAACATATGGAGGATGTGCATAGGTTATATGCAAATACTATGCCTTTTTATATATGAGATTTGAGCATCCCTGGGTTTAGTATACTGGGGGTCCTGGAACCAATCCCCTGTTATCAATGGACAACTGTAACATGTGCATTACCTACAATCAGAAACAATGACTCAGCTAAAATAAATATTATCTTCATTTTCCTCTTTAGCATCACATACCATACTTACAGAAGTAAAATGTATTCATCATTTTTCTTCCTAACATTAAACTAAAGAAAAAAGTCAACAGCTATAATATCACATTGGATCTAGTAAGTAGTTTGCTTTAAATGTTTTAAATTACCTGAAGTCTAGGTAAGAATTAGTGTCATGAGAATCCTAAGGATCTCAAGTGGGTTTATTTGTTTGAAGAATATTACATGAGAAAATGTGTAAAGAATGAACAATTCAATTTGTAACAATAACAGTAAAAAATATTATCAAGGCACTATTATGTTTCAAATACAATTTGGTCCACTGAATCCAAAATTCTCTGTCTACACTAAACAGCCACAGGGTTTTCATAAGGTAACAACTGTTTATCCAAAGGCTAAACTGTTTCTCCTTCACACTATCTGAAAGAATGACTCTGGTTGCAAAATTTAGTATTTCTAAAATAGACATAATGCATAATGTTTACTTTTCAATATTGAACCCTTCCTCCTAAAGGAGAAGCATGATATTTAAAAGTGAACAAAATAAAAATCAATTCTACTGAGATAAGGAACAAAACGTCAAAACTTAAAAAGAAACACAAGAGAACACTGAATAGTCTCACTGTCACTTTAAAATTGTCAAGGATCATATAATGTAGTAGTAAGAGAACTGGACTCCCATGTATTAATCCTGGGTAAATCACCTTCCCTCCATTTCCTCAGGCATAAAGAATGGAAACTAATTCCGAAGGCTACTCTGAGGTCAAATTTTATTGTAAGCAATGACTGAATATGTCATTAATTATGATATTACATGGTAGGAAAGGGGAAAAAGGAGAAAATGTAGGAATATGGTTTGGCAGAAGAATAATGTAAACATGCAAGTTATGTCAAGAAAGTGCATCAAGGAATTAGTTTAATCAAGTCCAATAACAGATTACTGCAACATTAAATATGTTTCTAGATTATTAAAGATGATTAAGAAAAAAACATAATAAGAGCAATAGTAGCTAACATTTAAAAAATGCTTATTATAGGAAAGGCAATGTTTGGAGAGCTTTCTAATCCGAGTTAAGAAGCAGACTTTAATAATAACTATAACAATATGAGACTGAGTCTCAACAACCTTAACCCAACCTCACCCACAGCATTTCATCATGATGAAAATAACGTAATTTTAACTGGGCACATTCAGTAACAGAAGATAACTACCTGCTTATCATTTGAAAGTGAAAGTGAAAGTCACTCAGTTGTTGAAAGCTGACTCTTTGTGACCCCATGGACTATACATTCCATGGAATTCTCCAGGCCAGAATACTGGAGTGGGTAGCCTTTCCCTTCTCCAGGGGATCGTCCCAACCCAGGAATTGATCCCAGGTCTCCCGCACTGCAGGCGGATTCTTACTGAATACAGAAGCAATAGGTAAGATTACCTTTATCTGGTTCTACAAACCCTCGCCAACTGAAGGGATAAAAAAGCAGGCGAGTTGGAATCAATATCATTAAACCTAAGACAGAGCAATCCAGAGCGTTTACCCACTTTGTCCAGCACCCCAAGATTTTTGACTACCAGTTCCCATTTGACTGCTCCAGCAGGCAATTCAACAGAGCATCAAGCAGGACGTGTTTATTCAACTGCCTTCAAGGCCAGTCACATAAATTTCAAAAATCACATGACTCTTAAATTTATAAAAAACAACAATTAGTACATGGGGGAAATTTACATACTCCTCTGTGAGGTGGACCACTTCTTCGATCATGAGAAAAACTGCGGCCCTCGTCATAGTCTCGGTAATCAACATGACTGTAATATCTATTGTAGCTTCCTTCACCAGGTCTGTCTAGCAGTGGTGGTTTCTTTGGCACAACATTAACTACTCTACGGTAGCCATCCTAAAACAGACAAAAAGAAATATATAAAAATCACTAACTTCTCTATTTGGTTTTGGAAAGGTTTTTTAAAAAGCATAGGAGTTATCCTTAATCAAATAGAGTAAATGTATAAACAAACAAAAATGCATTAATGAAATAACATGAATAACTAATAGTAAGGTCTTCACATGAATTAAAGGAAATGAAACTGTTCAATGAGAAAGCCAGGTGTTTAAAAGTAACATGCAGCAATGTAAACATCCAATCATAAGTAAAAGAAAAATACAATGTTATTAATAAAAAAATAAACTATGATTAGCCGCCAACTAATAAAAATAAATAAAAAATAAAAAAATAAACTACGAAAGGGAGAATGTAATAGTAGCTCTAATCCCTAATTGTCCAGGTATTTTAGAAGTAAAACCATTTTAGATAGCACACATCTTTTGTTTACTGTGTCTGAAGTTTATTATCCAGAAAAAATAAAAGATTTTTACACATAACCAACAGCAAATAAGGAGATAATACTGAGCTAGAAAGATCTAGAAGATACATCTTGCTATTTCTAAAACAGCACTTAAGAGAAGAGCCTGTGACATAAGTTTGGAAGCAATATAAAACTTGATATAAAAGCTGAACTAATTCTCAAAGTAATATGTTAATGTTTTAAAGTTTAGCTGAACAGATTCTTAGTGGGAGTTGGGAAACTGAAGAGAGGGAGCATAACACCTATCTTAGACTAGAAGCTGCTGTAAAATGAAAATGCTTATCACCAAGAAGAACCAGAGAGCTGCAGAACACGCATCTCTAAATGATCTGGTCTTGAGCACTCATGCTATCTATCAATATCAGATGAGGCCTGTGTGAAAGAAATTGGCAAGTTACCCAAGTATAAGATATGATCACTAATTTGACAAAATAAAAAACTAATAATGCCTAACATTCGGGAGTGGTAATTTTACTATTTAAAGTCTCAGTTTCATTATCTGAACAATGACATCAATACTAGTAACTACATCATGAGGTTGTGAGGACTAAAGAAAAACCAAACTGTAAAACACTTAAGGCAGTAAGATACACCAAGTACTCAAAAATTGTTTGCTATTTTGATTACCCTTTTTGCAAGTCTAAGTGAAACACTAAATTCCTCAAAGTGGCTATTTTCTTAAATTGCTTCTTAGCATTAATAACTACAACTATTCAGTAGCTATTAAATAGCTATAAGATAGCTATTTAAATATATAAAACTATTTTAGTAGTTATTAAATAACTACATCCACGCCAAATTTCCCAAAGGGTAGGAAATTTGTTCATGTGCCACAAAAAAACAGTTCATATCCATCTGAGAGTTAAACTGACCTATGTAATTTTTTCCCATGGGGATATATGGTGGCTTCCTTTAGTATGCAACATATTAAGTTCTAATATATATTCTGCATGATCACATAAAATATAGTACACAAATGAATCTAGTGATTTTTCTCCTCTTAACACTATCTTTCACAGAGATTTCAATTAAATCTAAGCAAATACTGAGCTTCTTAAAAAAAACTGTCACTAAGCCAAAATTTACAGCATCTTCTAATTCAAAATTTGTTGCACATAAAATTAAAATCACTGATTTCTCCAATTGTGGGAAACCATAAAATTCAATTACACAATACCCGTTTGTTCCTACCAAATAATAAATGAAAATAATCAATCCAAAGTTGTTAACGAGCAAAAGAAAAAATCTGTTAATGATATTTCTTGTATCTAGCATCATGAAGATGAAATTGCCGTTTCCTTTATGTTTTGAGAAAGTGTACAAATATATACATTATACCATCCCTCTGGTGGTGTCGCACTGAGTAATTCTCACAAACACACAGGATTATGAGAGCCATAGGGAGAAAAAGCTGAGTGCTTACTTACTGGAAACTTTTCTTGTAATCTTTAAGAGCAGTAAAGCAAGACAAGGACCAGAACTCTGGGATTAAGGATTCTACCTCCTGGAGGTCTAGAGGAAATCACATGAGAGTCCCAAAGAAAGGCCTTTGAAGATAAGGGGGATTGTTCTGCATGCAGAACAGTGTCTTGGTAATGTTGACATGTCAGCTAGACCGCTTAACTCAAGGGCAGGAGAAAGACCAAGCAAGGAAGAGAGAGTGAGTAATATTAAATTCCAAGAGACATTTCTGAGAAAGCAGCAGAACATGGTTCCCACAAACCCCCTCTTCTTGCTTTAATGAGTGTTCCTCTGCTCTCGTCAGAAGAAAAGTGTTAGCATCGCCTCAGTGCGGGTGAGTCAGGAAAATAAAGCAATCAGTGCTCTGGACATGAGAAAACATGCGATCACAGTCTAACTGCGACCAAGTTCAAAGAACATGCTGATTTTCACCGAGCCATAAAGCTGCAGTTTCCAAAGCTACAAGTCAACATAAAATCATGTGATCCATTTCCACTGTCCAGTAAGGTCAGAAGCTGTATTAGTTATGAGAGTAAGTACTTGTCAGCAGTTTCTAAGGAAGCAGAAAGGGCAGTGGCGGCAGCGGCTGCAACAGCAGCTACCATGGCAACAGCTATGATGGAAACTATTAGAGCACCTAAAAAACGCTTTCTATCCCAAACTAGACTGGATAGTTTGAGCAATTTGAGCTAGATGAGAACCACCACACCAGGGTCAATTTAATAGAAAGGGTAAAATTATAAGCAAGGGCAAAGATGTATGGTCTGGTAGTGCAGATATTAACATGGGCATCCATGTCTGTAAAGTTCCAAACAAAATGATAACTGTTAAAGATTCCAGAGCCCCGTTGCAAAACCCGTGAGAAAAAGGAAGCACAAGATGACGCCACATGAGGATCTTAGTAGGAGAGTATTGTAATGGTGCAAATTTTAAACAGGGTACAACTCCAGTAAATCTGGGATTCCATAAAGGATCAGATTTATTATAGTGAAAGAGAAAAGACCAATTCCAAATCTGACCATGTCAAGTTTTGTTACTGTCTTGAACCAATAATCCTTGGGGACCCCAATTTTCTATTGTATAATTATAGATCAGGAGGAGCTGTGTGGAAAAATTGTGAGATCCACAAACATGCCAATTAAATCCATCAAACAGTGGCATATCAATCCACGCATGAATACATAATGGGATTGATGGTTTTGGGTGAGACACTGCAGATGCTAAGTTTCCTTGGAAACCAGAAGTAAACACAAAGGTCTAACGTTTACTGGTAACAATTTGATCGTTTTGGGGGGTTTTATCATATTATTCATATGCCACCAAGTGCTGGTATAAGCACATATCTGTGCATTCGTTCAATTAGTTATGCAGAAGGGTGGATGTGAATCATTAATGGTCCAAGGAGACTCTATGGTGTGCATAGGTAAAACAGATGAAGGAGAAAGCCACTCTCCCCCAGTAATGGTGGAATCATTGGTAGAAATAGGAAGCTCTGGATCTTCCCATGTGACAACAGACAACAGAGCAGGGTTCATTAAGTGAGCCCAGTATGCATAGTTATTGTTAAGTAGTATATGAGCAGGAACCCTAGTGAAAAACAGAAATAAAAAACTAACCCAAAACAGCCATACCTTATGGGCAGAGTTAACAGTTATAGTGGCTAAAAGGGAAAGCAACATATTTTCAGGAGTAATAGGTGTGCCACTGTTAGCAAGAGCTATTTCAGCTCTTAAAGTAAGACTTTAATATCACCCCACATAATGTCACCGGCTGGTGAATGACTGATTATTCCTCAGTCTTTTCGGAAGAGGCATGCCAGCCACGAAGAGTCAGCTGGGTGGTCAACATATGAAACTCCAGTAATGGATCCTGAAGTCTTTGGTGCCAACACATGATAAAGTTTAACACAATGGGCAGGGATCCAAAGTGGACCTGATGGAGACAAAATGGCAGCAAATCCCCTTCCCAATGTTAGTAATTTAACAGGTCCTTGCCAAATAGGAGAGGGTGGTTGTTTAAAAAGGACCAGACAGCATTCTTGTGAATGTGGAGTAGCAAAATGTCTAGTAACAGCAGCTGATTGTGAAGAATTTCTGGAAACTGACAAGTGATTAGGAGTGAATAAGGCAATATATAATCATTCCCTAGGAGGGGTTAATTCTTTCCTTTTCAGTTTATTTAAAAATAATTGCAGTAGCCCATTTGCGCATTCAATAATGGATTGTCCAGTAAGGTTGTGCGGAATACCTGTGATGTGTTTAATATCCCATAGACGAAAGAAATCCCTAAGTTTGTGTGATGTATATGCTGCAGCATTATCAGTTTTAAATGGTTTGAGGTGCCCTAAAATAGCAAAACATTCAAGGTGAGCTTGCATATGATGTGCTTGTTCTCCATGTTGTGCGGTAGCCCATTAAAAGCCTGAAAAAATATCACAGTTACATGCACAAAGTGAAATGGTTTAAATGGAGGATAATGAGTAACATCCATCTGCCATAACTCATTAGAAGAAACCACGAGGGTTATAACGCCAGCTTCTGGGAGAGAAGGAGTTAAAACCTGACAGGTGGGACAGGTACTAACAATCTTTTTGGCTTCCAGTAAGGTTAGAGCAAATTGTTTATGTAGTGCCTTGGCCCCCTGGTGGAAGAACTGATGTGACAGAAAGGCAGCGGTAACCAATGATCCTATAAGGTGAAGAGAAGAGTCAGCTTGTTGATTTCCGAAAGTAAGAGGTCCAGGAAATTGTGTTTGTCCTCCAATATGAGCTATGAAAAAAAGGATGTTGTCGTTTAGTTAAAAGAGTCTGAGTAGAAACAAAGGGAAAGTAATGGTTTATCGACTGAAGTATTTAAAATAGAATCAGGCAATTGTTGAACGATATTAACAACATAAAAGGAATCTGTTAAGAGAGTAAAGTTTGCAAGGTTTGCAATGCAAGCAAGACAGCAGCTAATTCAGAATGTTGTGGGGAAGTTTGGGTGCTGGTAAAGATCTTTATCCATTCTGATATTTCCTTCCAGGTCACTATTCCTCAATTTTGATTGCCATCTGTACAGTAGGTAAGCACGTT